GCAGTAATGTGGATGTCATGGCTGATTTGTACTTCTGTGAATAAATGCACATAAATGTATCTACATCAAGACGTAAGTGTACGTAAGTGTAGCTCACAGAGGCAACAACATGTACGTCTCTGAAATCCCAATTACACATTGCGTGAATCTATGGGGCTGTGCATAAAGCAAATGCTGAATAGCTCTCTGCTAGCTTTGGGGCGGAACAAGACCCAAGCAGTACTCGACCTGAAACAGAACTAGCGCTAAATCAAATGGAGCAGTTTGAGGATCGGCTGGCAGAAAAGGTGCAACGTTACAAACATTTATATGACTTATCTTTAAAATGTCACAAAAACGGTGAAGTGAGTATTAATTCTTAGAGAAAGAGAGAGGGGAAAAACATGAGAGTTCACTCGTTGTTTTTTATACAATCTGGCTTGAACCCTGGCCCCTAGTGCACATTCATGTTACATGTGTGTATGTTGACAGACACTTATGCGAACGTCTGCGCATGACACCTGCACATGTTTGCAGATATGCAGGAGTATAATTTGGCCTTTAGTCAGCAGATGTCTAAAAATGAATCAAAGTGGATCATAAAGATGGCTCTAAAACTTCATATTCATTCAGAGAACTAAGTACTTTGCAGGCCTTTTCAGATTCTCTTTGACTCACTACTCAAGAGTGCATCAAACCTGCATTACACAAGTGGCCACTCACAGCACAAGGGGAGGAAAATACAGCAAGAAGCGGATTTTTTCAGTCATATCGCACTGCCCCTCAACTGTGTTAACCTCAGTGAGCTAAAACACTAATGCAAACTTTGTAATACAAAACATTTTCTTAAATGTTTGAACATTACATACATTCATTTTGTGAATTACTATTGTGTCTGGCTATAAGCTTTGGGTTAAAACTGTGGTGTCTTGCCTCTCTGCTGTAGCTACATGTTTAGCTTTAGCTTGCTAACTAGCAAGCTAGCAGTGTGAAGTAACGAAGCAGGATCAGCAGTCATTGATAACAGATGGGTTAGTAGTTTGCTACATTAAACCCAGTCATAACATATCCAATCAAACATTTTAGTTTTGAGAAAATGACACATTTTAAAGTTTTGTATTAATATTGCTTGAAAACAGCTTTTCCTGTCAGTTGGGGGGTTTGAAAAGGGAAATGCGTCAGGTCCAGTGATTTCTGGGCAAGTTTTGCTGCTGAAGTTGGAACTTGTGTTTCACTCAATCCCTCGCCCCTCAAAAGGCTCATTTTATAAACTTGGCTTGTACTAATACATTAAGGGAACAGCCATTAAGATGACGTCAGAAATTCCCCTGAAGGGTAATAGTTAGGCCAAGTGCATGAGGACATATTAAAATCAGTACTGAAATGGGCAGCTGACCACTCCTCATAGTGTGTAAAAGGAAATCATAAATGTTTACATCCAATGTGTGAATATACCATAAAGCATATCATTTCTGTCGTATCAAAACTTTGCAATTCTTTTCCAGTTTGTAGGGATTTTTGTGAACATACCAGCTGCGCTTTGCATTGCTTAAACAATTCATGACTAATAGACCAATATGAATAGGTCAAAGCTGCTTGGGAAAAAATGTATCATTACATTAACCTACAACAAAAGTTAAGCACTTTCTTGCTTTTCCTATAAAGTTACCATTTCACAGATTTTTAACAACAGCAACAATATGTACAGTATGATAGTATTGTTTGTACAGCCTGCCATAGCACTTTTAATCATTTGCACGGTAATAGTATGTTTTCATGAGCCAGTGCCTTATTTTCAGATGAGACCAGAGCTTTACTGACAGTTCTCTCAAAAGAATCTTAGAGCTGTTGATGATCTAGTAATAGTTTTCACCATTATGTTTAGAAATACACTGCTGTAATGTAATCTTAGGCCTCTATGCTGAAATAATGAACAGAAAGCAGGACAAGCCTATTTTATGCAAAAATGCTTGCTTTCAACCCTACTCTAATGTACACTCAGAGGTATGTATGTGTCAGTGTGGGTAAAGGAGGGTAAAGTTGGTAATAAAGGGTAACTGGCCGATGCATTTGCAGCAGTGTAAAGTGTTTGTGTTCAGACAAGCACTCACCAAAGTGTTAAGAACACCTTGTTTACATTCTCGTCAAGCCTCTGTGGTTGAAGAGTCTGCGAAGCATCAGACCTTTAAAGTGTGGAGACATAGGGTCAAATGCATTACAGTATTCATTCCACTTCAGAAGCTCCTTATCAAAACCTGATAACAGAACTCTTTTGCTCCCTCCCATTCTCCACAGCCATGCTACTTCCACTGAGGAAAATAAGGCAATGGAAGAACAAAGGTACTCTTGGCTAAAACTGCATTCTTGTGTTGTTTAGAATATGTGCACATGAAAATAGCAGTATTTTCTATAATTGATATACCTCAGTACAAAATGGCTTTTGGTAAAACATTTCAAATTGAATGAGAAGAAACAAACTGTGGGCTATTCACTTGCACATTTTAAATGAGCTGTTGTTGTTGGGTAGGCTACATCTCCAAGCTCACCCCATAAAACCCACTAAAGCCTGGCAGCAGCTTATTCATACAGCTTTACAGTCCCAAAACAAAAGTGTGACATGGCACTCAAAACAATCCATTTGCATACCTACTGAGCGGCGCTCTGAGTTCACACGTCTAACGGCAGCCGTTAGCTGAGCCACGTCCTCTCAGACCAAAGCTGGCTGGCGCATTCCTAATCAACGGCCAGGATGTAGGACAAGTTAGCTCATTTATGTGAATGTGACTCTCCACCCGTACAGAACAGCCTCTCCTCAAAGTGTGACATTTGCTTTCCCCTGATTGTACTGAAAAGCAAAAGGGGAAAGTTTAGTTAAAAAAATACATTCCAGAGAAATCTATGCGTTAGTGGAATAATCAGAGATGTGTGTCTGAAAGGACGAATTTCATTAGGGAGGTTGGCTGATGTGGTGCTTGGGCTTGCAGTTACCTAATCTGACTTTGGCCTTTTGTGAGCTGAGAAGATTGAAGACATATCGAACACACCTGTCTGGGGGCCATTCAGAAATACATTCCAGCATCTTCAATATCAGATAGCGGCTAGTCAGGGCTGCCTATCGATCCCTTCCTCCTGTGTCGAGGGGTCAACTCCCAGTCTTGGGACGATAAGAGACAGCCAGGAGATGAGTCATTCCCATCTGGAGCTCTCTCTCTTCTTTTTTCTCATATTATTGCCCTCTCTCGTCTCACCTCTCCTTCCCTTTCTCTTTTCTTTCTCTTGCTATATTGCTCTCTCATGCTTACTCTTCCCTCTCTTGTCTCTCTCTTTCTATCCCCCTCTCTCTCACGCTCACCCTTTTCTCTTACTCTTTTTTCTTTTGCTTTACTGCTCTCCCATACCCACCCTCACTCACTCTCCTTACTGCCTTCCCCTTCTCTTATCTCTTTACCTGTCTCTCTCACACTCACCCTTTATCTCTGTTTCTTTCTCTCTTTTATTTTCTCTTACTCATTTTATTGCTCACCAGGTCTTTCTCTCTTCTTTCACCCTTTCTTTCTGTGTTTCTTTCTTTCTTACTCTCTGCCTTTCCTCTCTGATGGGCCCGTTTTGCCCATTATAAAAGCTCCATCTAATTTACTGTAACGCACCACCGCTCAGAGGAGGCTATTATTGATGGGGGAAGGGGTGCAGCAGGAGCCACTTAATGTGACAATGAGAATTCTTAAAAGGCACTGGACTAAAGCTTCACCCCCCATTATTCACATCTGAATATGCAGGTCCTGTAAGCGTGCACAATTATGCACTTGTTAGAATGACTACATTTCTACATTACATTTGCGTGGTTTCAGTAAAATAATAATACAATCAGGCAACTGAGACCATGTAATGCCACCCAGATAAGCCAGAAGCCATGGGACGAGTGCTAAGCAAATGTATGAGTATAGCTTGTTCAAATCACACTTGAGCCTTGTAGGCGGCCCCTCAGAAGCAGCTGATCTTTAGCCACCTCAGCAGTGAGTGGCGACGTGGGCCGTTCGCAGTGTGCCGCTGCCGGTGGAAATTAATCTGAAGCTATATCTCAATATCTCGGTGCAAAAGTGCCCGTGCACTGCCCGGGGGGTGAGCGGGGGAGAGGCAGGGCAGGATCCTCTCGCTGCATTTCTAATGTGTCACCACATGAGATTGAAGCAGGAGGGGAGAGGCAGTGCTGTAGCGGCGGGGGCTGGGCAGTGCAAATTCAAAGGAGTAAATGATTGCCCTCTAGGGGACAGAGAGAGAGAGAGCAGAGAGAAGCTGCTTATCAGTGGAAGTCTGGCAGGCAGCCAGCGCTGATGCTGGGGTGGCCTGCAGGGAGAGAGAGACTGCTCTCCTCCTTGACACAGCAAACTCTCTGCCTTCCCTCTCCAACACTATAAACACTGAAGCAGAACGCGAAATCTGTTTGCACAAATGTGTAAACTGAATTTTGCGTTCCAATTAAGGTCCATCGGTTTTCTGCTGAGGTCTCGCACGTAACATCAAGCTGCGCCATTGGAAATCTATACTTCTAAGAGGCAACATACAGGTGTTTGTGTGGGATAAAGTAAAGGACACTAATGGGCTATTACAGATGAACATACACTTTGCAGTGACCAGACATAGTACTTAAGCGCCGCCATCAGTTTTTTATCACACTGAGCATAAGGAAAACTTTCTCAAATAGGCAAACACAAGACGCATGGAATATTAATTCAACACAGGCGCGTGGAACATTAACCGATTTGAAACTCTGAACCTGATCATTTCTGTGTAATGAACTGGTATCTACCTGCTTCATAAGACGATGTTCGTTTACTTGTGCCTCTGCATGTTTTGCACGCCGAGTCCGAACCAGACAGCGTGAAGGCCCCGCCCCCAAACAACAACCACCAATCAACTGTTTGAAATAAACGCGAAGGAATGTCTGGAGCGTTCTGGGCGGAGCGGCGGTGCCTGATTGGATAATTATGAGTGACGTAGCCGGTATGAAAAAAGCCCCGAGAAGTAGTTAAGAAGGCAGCCAGGAACTTTGCAGAGGTTTTGACTGAGCTTTAAGGCTGTAGGGAGGAAAAGAACAGAAACACAACAAAAATCACTGCGAGCACAGCGAAAGTAAAGAAGTTGAACTTAGGAAACTGTGAAACGGAGCATGGTGCAGCAGACGGAGAGCAGCATGTCCCGGGAGGCCACGGACACCGAGGAGGCAGAACTGACGGCGTGTAGCCCGGTGCCTCCGAAGCCAGACTGGTGCAAGACAGCGAGCGGCCACATTAAGAGACCCATGAACGCGTTCATGGTGTGGTCCAAGATCGAGAGGAGAAAGATCATGGAGCAGTCACCGGACATGCACAACGCTGAAATCTCCAAACGGCTGGGAAAGCGGTGGAAAATGCTGAAGGACAGCGAGAAGATCCCCTTCATCAGGGAAGCCGAGCGGTTACGGCTGCAGCACATGGCCGATTACCCCGACTACAAGTACAGACCCAAGAAGAAGCCAAAGCTTGACAACTCTTCAAAGCCGACCGGGCTCTCGCCGGAGAAGAGCGGCAGCAAAGCGGCGGTCAAAGCACCGGCAAAGAAGTGCACGAAAGTTAAGCCCAGCAAGCCCGGCATCGGCGTCACCGCCAACGCAAAGCCCTCTCATCACCAAGATGTGAGGTACAACTATGTATTCACGAACTTAAAAGTGACCAAGTCCGTTAAGAGGGAGCTCACGGACGACGAAGACGACGATGACGACGACGACGACGATGAGGACGACGACTACGATGATGAGCTGCCCGCTCGGATTAAAGTGGAGGAGGAAGAGGACGAGCACGAGCAGCAGAGGCTGAGGCCGTACGGCGTGGCCAAAGTGCCGGCGAGTCCCACGCTGAGCTCCGCCGCGGAGCCGGAGGGTGCGAGCATGTACGAGGAGTCGAGACACGGCGGCAGACTTTTCTACAGTTTCAAGAACATCACGAAGCAGAGCTCGTCTCACTATCTCCCCGCCTCCTCCTCCTCTTCATCCTCCTCGGCTTCTCCAGCCTCCTCTTTCCGCTCCTTCTCCACCTCATCCAGCTCGGGCGACGACGCGGACGACCTGCTGGTCGACTTCAGTTTGAACTTGGCCGCTGGCACCCACGGAGCGGAGCTGGGCAGCGGCTCGGGAAACCTTTGCCTTTCTCTGGTGGATAAGGATTTGGACTCGTTCAGTGAGGGCAGCCTCGGCTCCCACTTCGAGTTCCCGGACTACTGCACCCCAGAGCTGAGCGAGATGATAGCCGGCGACTGGCTGGAGGCGAACTTTTCTGACTTGGTGTTCACTTGCTAAGTATAGCTAGGCTAGGCTAGGCTAACTCACTCCGCTAGCCGGGAAAACGACTCGCATCTTCAGGTTTTTTTTAAAGACTCGCCTCTTTGGCCTCGTCCTCTGTCGGTGTAGGGAGAGGAACCGAAACCAGAAGTGTTTTGAGGAAGGTTTCATCGCAAAAAAGTGACATTTGTCGCCATGACAGGGTTTTATGGGTGTTATTTTTTTCTTTCTGTGAGGGGCCGCAGTGAAACTGCTAACATGAGGTGGACGGCAAAGTGTAAAACCTGAACTATGCATTCACGTCCCACCACATCTTCTCTACAGGGAGCTGAAACGCGGCTGCTGGTCTGAAAAAGGAGGCAAAATCTGAAACACTGTTCAGGATGTAACTTTTTCTCCGAGGTTTTATGTGATTTCTGTACTCCACAACTGTTTGTTTTCTAACCGGTTCCGTTTCCCTCCAGGTGTGGAGATTAAAAAAAAAAAAAAGCAGACAAACTGTTGTAGAACACAGGTATGGCAGGAAGCATTTTTTGATACATAACCAACATACCTCATCTTTTTAAAAAAAAGAAGTGAAATATTTTCTGGCTTATTTTTGTACAGTTAAAGGGAATGTTCTTACTGTGCTCTCAGTGAGGTTTCTTCAGGCACTTCTACCCGGTTTCATTGGTTCAAGCATGCAAGGGTTAAAAATGAGATCATCTTGCATCTAAATGCCTTGTTATTATTTCAGTCTAGACTGTGTACAGTTGTAGATCTGACCATGCGTTTCTATAGAGATGTACAATGGAATTGGGGAACTATAGACCTCATTGCTGGTACTAGATTCAAGATTGTATATGTTGTGTAATATAGTAAAGCTAGGAGTTTATGTATATCAGTGTGAATGGGTCCCAAATAGCAGGTGTGAAACAAGATTTTGTTTCATTTTTATCATCTTAATGGCACATTTTGTTTTTCATTATTTTGTGCAATATACTCTTGAAATGGACCATCTGCGTTTTGTAGCAAAGGAAATGCGTTACATGTCGTCATGCTGAAGTCTGTATCTTGGCAAATAAATCAGCTGGAACTGATAACGTATGTCTGTTTTTATTGTTTGAGTGTCAAGGAACAGTTGATGGGAGTGCAAAGTTGACCATCGTGCTGCATCTTGCATTGGTTTTTGGGTGTGCATGTTATCTGACACTTCAGTCCATGTTTTTTTCCTCTCCTTAACCAGCAGGGATAGTTTTCCTGGGAAGGAAAAAAATCAAATCTCGCGGCGTCTTGAGGGGCCACTTTGATTGGTCAAGCAGATCCCCCTGTGGTGGATGAGTTAAGCCGCTCTCCCTGTGCAGCCATTCAGCCATGCATTCAAACAGCCATACACTCAAGCATATCAGTGCAGCTGTTCCACTCCAAAAGCCTCTCAGCTTTCAGCGACTGCAGGAATAAAATCTATGTACATTGTAAAAACCCTGTACCTTTTTTCAAGCGAGTCACACACTTGTAAAAAAAATTAAGCTTGCAGTATGTCATGTATAAGGTTAGCAAAACTGCACCATTTTGGGAAAGGTGTAAGGTCAGAGGGCAGCTAAAATGTCAATAGGTCACTCTAGGATGATGTCATTGACTTAAATGTACTTTTTTAAAGATGCTAAGTTAATTATGAAATTACATGTTTATATCTGGAAAAATACCCAAATCTTAACCCATGCTTGACAGACAGAAATGACCTAAAAAGGCACTCGAACATAATCAGGGTGTGCAAGCTTTGGCCTAAGCTGGGTCTGTGTGGATTGTAGGGGAGGAGAGTATTCTGTAGGGATATAACTGCTTTCCAGTGCTCTCATTTACCACATATGTTAATCTACAGAAGGAAAAGTCACTTTCTGGAGGGCTGCCATGATATATGGCTTTGATTATTCATTCCCCTGTTCTTTCCCTGGATGTGTGTTGCAGTTCAAATGGCTAAAAAGGCCTCTATGAGTGCCTCTCTCTTTCCTTTTTGCTCATCCACACAGTCATTCCTATAAAGATTGTATGCTATTTTGAATGACCTATTTGCTATGATAAAGCAAAGAGCTGTTTATGTCTGCACCTTTCAGTGGTGCACTATTTGCAAGATTGCTATAAATGCTCTGAGGGCCTTTGCTGCTACGACCAGCAGGTTAGCTTTCTGCTCACATTCATTTTGGAGCTAATGCTTTTTGGCCATATGTTCACACTGCATATCAACCGTGACAAGGCCCATTATGTGTCTCTTCTCTCCACTGATCTGGAGGTTGTGCAGTCTCTGTGGCTCAGGGCTGTGATTTAAAAAGTCAATCCATTGGCTGCTCTGCTGCTTGATTAGCACAGGAAGCTAAGGGTGCTGCAACAGCTAATTATGATGAAGGCGACTGACAGAGTGTTTGACGTTTTTTTTCTTTTTTCAAATGGGCTTCAAAGATCAAATGCTCATTAAATGTTTTTAATGTGATGCACAGGACCTGTAAATGTCTAGAGCCATACGCTGGATAACAATGGATCTTTGCTAACATGATTAATAAACACAACTACATTTTACCCATGTTCACTTCCATAACAACTTAGATAGGAAAATATGAATATTTTTAGGGATGTACATAATTGACCATAAACCAACTAAAAACTCTTCTACCAATTATATGGGTTAAGAAAAGTTATTTCATTTACAGCTAACAACAGAATTGGACACACAAGAGTGCAGTGGGCAGCTGGTTCCACCAGATAGGGCCCACTATAAAATGAATTGCATAGCTGAACCAGAGGTATTTGGGATTACTTTTCAAGAGGACAACACAACTCATAGTTGTCATCAGGTTAAACAAACCCTGCTCATACAAATCATTAAAAGTTTCTGTTGGTTCCTGATGGTTTCCAGTAGTTACTAATGATATTTTGTGTTTTCCAGATGGGTTGGTATCACAGTGTAAAAGATTCTGATGGTTTAACAGCTGTCCTGGGAACGATTCCAGGTGCACTTGATGGTTTCCTAATGGGATCTAAAGGTGTCCTACTGAAACCGAGTGGCCTCTAATGGTAACGTTAAGCCAATTCTCATCAGAAAGCTAAACCATCAGGTTTTGAACCGAATAGATCTAATGGTCTTTTTCAGCAAGGAAAATGGGTTCTTACATAATGTATGCTTAATAGCCTGTGCTTTGGGCCATTTACTTCACATTCATCTACAACACCATTTCCAAAAAAGTTGGGATGCTGTGTAATGTAAACAAAAACAAAATGCAATGATGTGCAGGTGATTTAAACCCTATATTTTATTGAAAATAGTACAAAGACAACATATTAAATGTTGAAGCTGAGAAATTTTATTGTTTTTTGAAAAATTTGCCCATTTAGAATTTACATGATTGGGTATGAAAAAAAAGCATCCTGGAGAATCTGGAGAAATCTCTGTGTGCAAGGGACAAGGCCGAAAACCAGTATGTGCTGGCCATGATCTTTGGGCCTTCAGGTGCCACTGCATTAAAAACAGGCATGATTCTGTAGTGGAAATCACTGCATGGACTCACTTCTGAAAACCACTGTCCGTGAAAACAGTTTGTCGCTGCGTGCACTAATGCAAGTTAAAACTCTAAAACGCAAAGAAGAAACCATATATAAACAGAAACCAGAAATCCTGCCACCTTTTCTGGGCCTGAGCTCATTTAAAATAGACAGGTGAAGTGAAAAAATGTCCTGTGGTCCGACGAATCAACATTTGAAATTCTTTTTGTAAATCATGGATGTTGCGTCCTCAGGGGTAAAAACCACTCAGCTTGTTATCAATGCACAGTTCAAAGCCAGTAGTCATGATGGTACAGGGGTGCATTAGTGCACATCTATGAAGGCAACATTAATGCTGAACAATATATACATGTTTTGGCAGCATATGCTGCCAGCTGGATGATGTCTTTTTCAGAGAAGGCCTTATTTCAGCAAGACAATGTCAAACCATATTCTGCATGTATTACAACAGCATTGCTCCATATTAAAAGAGTCCGGGTGCTAAACTGGCCTGCCTGCAGTCCAGACCTGTCACCCACTGAAAATATTTGGCGCATTATGAAATGAAAAATACGACAAATGAGCCCCAGAATTGTTGAGCAGTTGGAATCCTGTATCAAACAAGAATGGGAAAACTTTCAAAACTACAGCAATTGGTCTCCTCAGTTCGCAAACGCTTACAGAGTGCTGTTAAAAGAAGTTGGTGATGAAACACAGTGGTAAATAGGCCCCTGTCTCAACTTTTTTGGAACGTGTTGTTGGCATCAAATTCAAAATGGGCACATATTTTTCAGAAAACAATAAAATTTCTCAGTTTTAACATTTGATATGTTGTCTTTGAAGTATTTTCCTTTAAAAATATGGTTTACATGATGGTTTACATGCAGATCATTTATTCACATTCTACACAGCTTCCAAACTTTTTTGGAAATGGGGTTGTTTTTATGCCTCTCCCAACTATCAGTACATGCAAGGAGCACTTTTTAATATCTAGGCGCATAAATACAAAACTGAGCTAATGTGTGGACTCAAAAGTGTGAGTATGTCATGTATTTTATAAAGGCTTCGAATGTGGCTCAGCCAATCTGATCTCAGAACCGTGACCAGGCCTGGACTTCCCATCAGGAGTACCAAGAGATTTCCTGGTGATCTGTCATATCAGTTTGCCTGGATCATCGGATCACATACAAAGATCAACTAAACTAAATCACAGTGTAGACACATGTTTTTAAATGCAAGCAACCTTCTCTACTCTGGTCTATCACACGACTGGTCTAAATTGACTGTATACAGAGTATGTGTGATAACAGAGTCAGATCAGAGACCTGCAGTACTAGCTGGTGAGCTAGCTAGCTCAGTCAACTAGCCTACAGCATATTCGCAAAATGGATAAGAATTAAGATTAGAAAAGGAAAGAATCGTGGGGCCGAAAGGAAAGTGTGTTCAAAATAACTAATACAGCAACAGATGCACATCTCAGTTAGAAACCAAAACACACACACAAATTCCCCACCCACCATGAGTATTCTGGTACATTTAGCTAGCTACTGACGTAGGCTGTTTCCCTCAGACAGTAAGTATCAGATTACTACTTAGTTTTTCATTTTGATTTTTAATTTTAGTTTAGTTTCAGTTAGTCTTAAGTGTGCCTGAATAGTATTACTCTTGTTTTTATTTTCTGAAAAGTAATAGTTTCAGTTTAGTTTTTGGTATCATGATGAGTGGTGTGATAGCAGGTATTTGAAAAAGTTAGAGTAAAATTAACTCAACAGTAGTCAGCTCAACTTCAGCCTTCTTTAAAGATGGCCTAACACAGAAGAGCTCCACTTCTAAACTCTCATGTACACCCTGAAAAAAATGAAAACTGAAGGTTGTTTCTCAGTATTTCTATTTAGTTTTTGTTAGTTTTGTAGTGGACATTATAGTTTTGATTTAGTTTTTTTAGTTTTTATTATTTATTTTAGTTAACAAGC